TCACCGAAAAAGATGACGGAGGAGAGTGTAGTATAAATGGCCTATGTGATTTACGTATCGCCGAAGGATCCCGAATGGTACCGAAGTTCCCATTCTCCAACATCCGGGAACTTCGGTAGTCTGATCGGAACCTAGAGAAATAACGCAAGCTTCAGCTACCGTTCCTTCGCTAGTTTCGTTTAGATATCCATTCTCAACGTGTGTATCATCTCACCAAGAGACAGCTTAATAAAGGTAAGACTCTGCCTTTACTTTACTGCTGTGGAACGCCTGTGGAGCCGGTGAAAACTCGAGAAAACAACACAAACTCAACTTTGGAGTAATCCTGAACAATCAAATTCATATATGTTACACACGTAGGGCTAATCTTGTTACACTTTTCAGGGGACTCTCAACAACCATCGCAAAGTATCGTTTTCTGTTAGTTTTTGGTCTTTGTTTTCACCGCGAAGGTTGCCAGGCGGTAGAAAATGCCCGGATGTCCGCCCCCGAGGATACCCATGGTACCGTACACATTTATGGTAGACAGTTTTGTGCAAAAATTATTAAACGGTTTGTTTTTTGAGCGATGAAGTTGCGGTTTACGTACACGCATCAATATAGCCGCTTAATTGATTTTTAACCCTACCGTACGCGAAGCCTAAACAGTTCAACAACGATGGCCACTCACTCGGCTTCGAGGCATTAAAAACAGATAAAGAAAAGCCAGATGCAAATGCCGGACCGCGATTCACTCTTTTTTGTACTGTGGATCATCGGAGAAATAGTTTTTCTCTTTCACCTGCCATGGTTTAGAGTGTGTCCAGTGAAATAGCCCGTATAAGCCATGAACCGGCAATCTCGCTCTCGCATAAGCGTTCCAACTCAGAAAAATGCGAATGCGCATGCCCGAGGTAACTAGGATACTGGAATGTCCAGGTAGATCAATATAGCTGCTCACGATATGACGGATTACGATAACTATATTTTCTGTACATTTTCGATGTATTACATTTTTTCACTATGAATGTGGTGATACATGTCAGAAGGTCGTAGCATCAGTCTCGTTATCTACGAGATGAGACTTGAATCATGGGATCCTGGCATAATGTCACCATACAGTACTATACGCGTTGCAAACCCCAAGTAATGTACCTCTGATTGCACTTAATATTGAATTATATTTCATTATGTTTTGTTATTTATACTGCTACATAACAATACGTGTGACAAAAAGAATTAAAACGTACATAAATTCAAAGTAATCTGAAGTGCATTATTACTAATAATTTACCGGTAAATTTTAAATTAGTCAAAACCCCAATGCGTGTTATGAAAGAAAGAAGAAATGAAAGAAAACAGGGTAGAACAAAATGACGATAATGCGATAATGCATTCATTTCCAACCGTATA